GCAAGATTAATCTTTAATGAGCCGAAAAGAATGCACGTCACACCTCTGTTCATCAATTTGCACTGGCTACCAGTAGCTGCTCGCATAAAATTCAAGGCATTAATGTTTGCCTACAAAACCACCACTGGCTCTGCACCTATTTACCTAAATTCATTACTTCAGAGTTATGTGCCCTCTAGAAGCTTGCGTTCTGCAAGTGAATGACGCATTATTGTGCCATCACAAAAATCACTTTCACTGACTTTTATATTAACTGTTCCCTCCTGGTGGAATGACCTGCCCAACTCAAGTCCTTAGCCATCTTCAAGAAACGACTAAAAACATCTGTTCCACCTTTATTTGACCCTCTAACTCTAGCACTCTCTATTCTATTTTAATTCAAATTTTTTATTTAAAAAAAACACTAGCTTTATATTTTTTCTATTCTATCTACTTGTTTTTCTTTGTGTGTGTGTGTGTGTGTATATGTGTGTGTATAATATATATATATATCTTGCTACACTGCATTAGGCTAACCGAGACCTGCCGTAGCTACAGGTCAAAACACAACTGCCTTTGTCTTACTCTCATTAAAATTTAAACCAAAAGTTTAAGGGCATCCTAGCTTTCATATCCTATAGACAAGCGGTTAAAGAGCTGAGATAATTGTTGTTGCTTTGCTTAAAAGACATAAATTTGGGTGTAGTCAGCATAAAAATTAAACAATACTCTGTATTTGTTAAAAATCAATATAGAAGAGAATTAAATGAGGGCAATAAAACAGCTTTGAGGGACTCCATATGTCAAAACTAATTTAGTGGGGGGAAAAAACCCACCGACACAGACTCTAATTCAGTCGAATCAACGGAGGGGAGAGTCCCCTGAATCAACAGAAAACAATATAAAGTTAATACACATATAAGAGCAGACTCTAGTTGGTACTGCGGTTCTTCCTAAACCCAGAGATCCCAAACACACTATTGGATGCAAAACAAACAAATATTCCAGACAGAGACTGCTTTCTCTAAAACTTTGGGCATAAAGGATAAATTAGAAATTGCCCTATAATTACATAAGACTTTTCCACCATGGGTCTAACAGTTTTGGGTTTTAATTGCTGTCAGAAAACCAGGGACGACTCATCACCTGTGCAATGGCATCTCAACAGTGAAGGATGGTGGTGTTACTGTGGGGGTGTTTATTTTAGCAGTAGTCACAGGGAGACTGGTCATGAGAGAAGTAAATCCGAACAAATGAAAATACAGAAATTCTCAATGAAAACCTGGATCAGAGCACTCAGGACCTCAGATTGCACTGGAAGGTTCACTTTCCAACAGGACAATGATCCTAAGCAAGTCAATACTATGCAAGAGTGTCTTAGGGATGCCTCTGTGAATATTGAGTGTCCCAGTCAGAGCCCAGATTTGAACCCAATCAAACATCTCTGGAGAGACCTGAAAATGTCTGTCCACCGGTGGTACCCATCCAACCTGAGAGAGCTTGAAAGGATATGCAGTGAAAAATGGCAGAAAATCCCCAGATGCTCAAAGCTTGTTGACTCATATCCAAAAAGACTTGAGGCTCTAATCACTGCCAGTTATGGGTTATGGGTCAGAACACTTATACAGTGTAGTTACTTTAGCCTGGTTTTAGAGGGGTTTTAACCACTTTTTTTTAGCTGGTCAATCTGGGAGTCTGGGACCTCATCTGTTGATTGCAGATTAGGGGTAATTCAGTGTCTGATCTTTCTTAGGCACTACACTCTTTTTTAAAACAGATGAAGGATCAAACTACTGAAAAATGCAGTTAACTTAATAGTGTTGCTACTTTTAGATACCAGCATTGTCTTTTTGTCTTTATGTTGTAGCCTGACGAAAGGAAACTAAAGTAGAAAATATTAGTCTCTATGGTGATAAAGGGCATTTAATATCTTCTGTTAATCTGGACCAATCAAGAGGGCTGGGAGCCTAAAAATGTTTTTAGACTCCAGTGCTCATGCCCTCAAAAAAGAGGCATATTCATTCACCACCACTGCCTCCAGATTAGCACCGCCAAAGTCTCATCTGCAAACCGTGGGTGTCTGTAAACGGAGAAGGAAGTTGATGTATCCCAGGGCATTCATGACTCAAGCCAAATCACACAGACCGATGCACACAGACAACAGCACGACTGCATGCCACAGCATCAGGTCACTCTAAGAATAGCTCTACTCCGAAAAAGGAAGTGTGTATCTATACTAACACGTTTCACAATCTTTTTTATGCGATTGCCATGATGCATTAGGATGGCTGCAAACTGCTGACTGCCTCCACAAGTCAATCACCGCTCTCTCACTGATCTCTCCTATTATTTTTTGTCATAGTCTCTTTCTCACTCCTTCTTTCTGCTGTACATGATCTTACTCCACCCTGCAATGTTTTGGCTAAATCTTAAACTACACGCTGGTAAATGGGATTACACTTGCTGTCGTGAGATATGGCTCTGTATCACCAAAGCTGTGATTCAGCCGTAGACACAAGGACCCAGGCCAATGCATTGAACTCTGTGAAGTGAAGCATTAGATATACCCCAAATGTATTATATCTCATGTTTAACCACTACAGATTCACCAGAGCCCGTGGCAAATGTCAGAAGGACTTGCCAAGATAAGGCTGTTCTTGATGGAGTACATGAGCGCCAGCTGCCCGGGGCTCCCCCAGCCCAACCCCAGATATATCAAGCCACTAGATTTGAAAGCTACTTGATCAGGCGACCAGGTACACATAGCATAGTGTATTATAAAAGACCCGCTTGCAACACTTATTGGCCAAAAAAAAAACACAGTTGCTTCAATGACAAATAGTATCAAACCCAATTAAACTTGTTTTTGCAATTTTTTGAAATTTAAGGAAAAAAAGCATGCCAGTATTCAAGATGTAAACCTGAAACTGTACCTGACACAGTCCTGACAACCTCTGTGGTATTTCTCAGGCCAACAAAGGAGAACTGGTAAAGACGCCAGGAGCGGATGTCTCCAACCTCCACTGAGCTGCGTTTCCACTTGTATACAATCTCCTCCTTGGGGTAGCCATCTGCAGAAACAAACAATTGGAATTGGTCCAAAAACAACAACAACAGAATTGTCTATTGACGAGCAGGCTGGGGCGCTGCGGCCGGCGGACAGGTGGAGGCAGCAGCTGCCCGCAGGGGCAGAATGTCGGATCGCCTCAGTCTGCTCCTGTGCAGCCGAGAACTGCTGGGCCATATTCTCGACTGTGTCGCCGAAAAGGCCGGAATGGGACACAGGGACCTTGAGGAACCGAACTTTGTCAGTGTCCCTCATGTCGACCAGACACAATCAGAGGTGACATTCCTGGACCACAAGTGTGGACATCGCATGACCCAGAGAACTCGCGGTGATCTTCGTCGCTCGGAGCGTGAGATCAGTTGCGGTTTGGAGCTCTTTTAGAACTTCCGGACGTGACCACCCTCGTGCAGGTCCCTCAGTGCTTTAGCCTGAAGAACCTGCAGTAACGCCGTAGCGTGTAAGGCGGAGGCAGCTTCT